TCGGGTTCCGGGTGAAAAAGTTTCCAGATTTTTTTTGTTCAGTCAGGGTTTTCGGGATTTTTTTGATTTCGGATTTTCATGTTTAGACCTATTAAAAAAGTTTGGGTTTTTAAATTTTTTGATTAGGGTTTTTTGTCGGGTTCGGATTTAGGGTTTAAATTTTCTACACAAAACAACAACGTCACACCGCACAAACGTGCGGGTACTCTACTAGTCTATACTATTAAAGCAGAGGCACAAAATAAGGATTATTTCAACCTTTCAAAAGAGCTATCTCTATTTCCAAACAGAAAAAACCCGAGACTAATACTAAAATTAAAATATTGACCTGACCCGAATCAATTTAGAAGCACACTGATCTTTGATTCACTTAAATCAAACCGGAACAATTAAAGCTACGGTTCAGGACCATAAATCAATTATTCTAAAGCAGAAATTTCTCCCGGGTTTTGAAAAGGAATCAACGACAATCCCATGAAAATTGGGTATTAACTTCTCCAGCTGAAAATCAGACCTTCTTTCCATAAAATGCATCTAATAAATTCGCAATTAAAATACATAATCAAATCACATATTTACTAATATTCTAATCTACACAAAATCAAAGCAATCTTACCAAAAAGTACGCTACTTAACAAATGCCGGTATGGAAGATACCTAATTTACAAATGTATTAAGTGCATAAACGAGACGACATTTATGAAGTAGGATATTCATAAAGAAATTCTGTTACCAAGTTCTTAATTTGAAATTAATATTCGAATTTCTTTAAATGGATGTATAATGCTCCAAAGATTTCGTAAGAAGCTACTGAATATTTTAACAGCTTTTAAAAGAAGATTCAAGCTCCCTCCAATTGAATGAACATGTGTTATTTTTTTGTGATCCAAAACTTAGTTTAAATTCTTATTTAGATATATCTGTTACTAAATGTTATAGTTTTTATGTTTTTACAGATCTAACGAGGTTGGAAATGTCTATGCGGGTGGAGATATATCTCTTTAACAGGTAAATTCTTTCTCTACCATCTAACAAGAAAGCCACACCATTGCAAACACCAAAAAGCACATTTACGCATACCGCACGTCACTTTCAATGATTCATATTCTTTCTGATGGAACAATGGAGGAGATTGTGTCAAACAAAACTGTAAGATACTTGCAAAAAATAACATGTTATTTCTGATTCAGTTTGTTATCAAAAACTAACAGAACTGGAATCATATTTGTAGGGTTATACAAGCTTCAATCAAAAAGAAGGATATCAAACCTTTCAAGAATGTATGCAGTCAACAATAAGAAGAAACAATGCCATGTAAATCTATGTGTTAGCCTGGAACAGGTTTTCTTTTACTATGTGCGTTTCTTTTCATATCATTTCTCAATAAAAGCTTCTTCCTCATATCTCATTTATTCATAGAGAAATCTAATTACCTTTTTCTATCTTATGTTTGTAGAGAAACAGGTTAGTTTTCTAAAACCATTTGACATTCAATAATAATAAAGGGAAACGAAACCCAGTCATGTTCTTTTTTTTCAATTCTGTTTTCAGAAAATTAAGTAACATCCCTATACAGAGACATAGGAGGTAGTACAGGTATGAAAAAGATTTACCTAAGACCATCAAGGAGCAAAACAACATGGGTTTTCTGTTTGTCGAAGAAGCTGCATAAGAAATCATAAAGTCTAAATTTATTATTTTACATCTTACAGATAATCAAAAGGGAAAAAAGGTAAATCCTCCTTAGCTCAAGGTGGATTAGCTTCAGGAATTGTACTCACTTATTTCATTGTTTTACATATATAGTGCATTGTTATTATGTTTAATGTCTTACTAACATGCTTTGTTCTTTTTATTACAGGTTTGCGAAACCTCTATGATATTGCAAATATATCTTACAAACGTATATCTTCAAAGAAATCAAGGAAGTGATGGACAAGACTAGACAAGAACCATTGTTCTTATTTGCTTAGATTGGATTTAGTAGCAGTTAGGATCAATCGCAAAATCAGGAATGTGTGTATTTGATAGCAGCAGTTTTATCGGTATTAACTGATTTGCATGTCGATAATTTAATTCAAACTCATTAAAACAACAGTTTCTATCAGATTTGCAAATTTTGAGTGAAGATGAACAAGCAACGAATGGGATAGAGAAGCTTCTGGAACTGAACTGAAAGACAAAGTGAAGAAGGAGAAGACACAGAGAGACTGTCGTGAGAAAAAATGGAAGAAGAAATGAAAGTGGGAAAAAAAAACATGATTTTTTAGTTTCGTCAAAGGAAAGTCCAAAATTTATTGATCAAATAAATCTGATTCATATAATTGACGCTTAAAATATGATAGAAAAAAAAACATATGTTATCACAATAACATTTTAATCAAAATCTAAAATAATATCCAATTTTAAAAATTTAATGTTCACAAATTAAATTAACTTAAAGGTTAGTAACATCATGGGTCAGAACCAACAATTTTTAGATTCAGAATTTTCCCGAAAGACATAAAAACAAACAGATCTAATATGGTGAAAATTTGTAATTTTGACTTTAACGTGTCTCATGCAAATTTACAAAAAAAAAAGAGAAAAAATGATATGTGTTGAAAATAAATAAATATCATTCAAATAGTTGAGGCTTAAAATATAACTAAAAAAAAACACATTGTCACAACAAATTTTTATCAAACTTTAAAACGATATCCAATTTTAGAAACTTAATGTTCACAAATTAAATTAATTCAAATATTAGCAACATCACAGGTCATAACCAACATTTCTTTACATCCGGGTTTTCTGCGAGACATAAAAAAGCGGATCTGATCAAAAGTGAAAATTTGCAATCTTGAATTTAAAATGTCTTATGGACAAATTTACAAAAGAGAGAAGAAAAAAATGTACCAAACTGAAAATATATTATTCTAGGTTTCATCAGTACTGGTCACAATTAATTTTAGATTAAAAGAATTTGATTCGCTCATGTCGTTCTGTCGACAACACGTCGAAAATTTAACACAATGATCGTGAAATTAGGTTTACAATATCGACAAAATCAATAATTATCAGTTTCATCAACGAAAAAATTATACATGTTGGGACACAACTTATCTCATGAAAACAATAATATTTTACTAGCAAATGTCCATCATTTTTAACATTATTGCCCGATAAACCCAAAAATTAATGATCACATATTTATTTTATTTAATACTTAGATAATTAAATATTAATTCATCAATATATATCACAAACATACTATAGGTTACATAACTACAATATAAATACTTAAATTTTTATTATAAAAAATTGCAACATCCCGTGCTTCTCAAGCACGGGTCAAGATCTAAAACTTTATGTGATCGAACTCTCAGATTCGACAATTGATGATGATTGTGAGCGAAAATTGACATAAGAGTTAAAAGAATCACGATTGTGTCGTCACAGTAATCAGACAAACTAGGGTTTGTGAGTTGTTTCCCCCAATTCAATTTTGAAAAACGTTATTGAATTGGAAATTAATAAAACGATGTCACTTTGCTCAACCTGGCAACGATTCTATTAATTTAGTTGAAGCCCATATAGATTATACAACCCATTTGAACATAATTACACATTTCCGAGCCCAAATAGAAAAAACAAATATATTAAAAATCATAATTAATTAGTTAATTACTTAAATCAACACAACATAAATTATAACTACCCGTGCTTCCCAAGCACGGGTCAAGATCTAGTATTACCTTTAAAAGTTATGTAGAAGAGGAAAACATCAGCTTACAAATTAGGAATAAAATTTAGTTCGATTTAAATTGACTTTTGAGATTACAAAAGAATATAAATCTTATAAGAGATTAATACTGTATTAAACTATTAAAAGAATATGTGTAAAATCTTTATCTGATAAATATCCAAATGTATTTAGCAATTATTTTTATTTTTTAAAATCTATTTATGCATATTATATACATATATATGTAGATATAGATCTTGTTGATTTATTAAGATATTTAACTACATATATACTAAAATAAAAACAAGATATTCATCCCAACAAATAGGAATTATGTCAACAGAAAGATTCATCCCAACAAAGATTAATCTTATATAAATGCATTGCATAATGCATATGATTTATATGAATTCTAAACACGTTTGGATGTCAGGTTTATCTAATTTAGCACGATGCAACAGTGCTTAAAATAAAAGTCATTTGGGTTTTATAGCTTCGATCATTAATCGTGAACTTATTTTATGGGTCTAAATCCGAGCTTCCATAATCCATATCCATAAAAAGAAGTTTTAGTCCTTCTATTAAGAAAAGAAAGGTTTGAGAACTTAAATCTTAGTAAATAGTAGTATCATTTATTTGATATACTGGGTTGAATTTGATTGTTTGCTCAAAATCGTGCAAATGGTTTTTGAGAAGCCAAAAAAAAAGAAGAATAACGTTTTCTTCGTAGTAGCAATATACTAGCAAAGCGAAGTCAGCAATAACCGTAAACTGGTGAAGTTACAGTTCTGCATGTACCCCACGTGTTTATTTGCGCATTTTGTATGTTTAGTGTGCGTCTCCTTAAACCTTAATGTTGTTAGTGTTACGGTCAGTGTTGGCCACTGCCTCGCCGTGATGACTTCCTCTACGCAATTGCCTGCGTACTTTTAAACGTTTGTTGGGCTTTGGCCCAGATCTGTAAGGCCTATCTATATCTTTCTTTCTTTTTTCTTTTTACAATCATAAAAAAGTTATCCAATTCGTCGTCACTACCAAACAAAAACATGCTTCCTAATAAGCTTTTTGCAATACCACAACCACAAGTCAAAAGAATTCACAACAAGAGACTCAGTCACAATCACAAACCTTCAACAAACTAAACATCATTTTGCATCCAAAGATCCAAACGGTTTTCTTTTTCCCCAGTATTTTTTTTTTTCAAAAAGAAGTAGCAATAGGGAACGATCTGAAACTTCCATGAGATTTGTTCTTACTCATTGTTACCATTTGCTTAGGTACTTCCATATTGTCTTTTCAGTTCAAGGATATCTTTTCTTGATCGAATCTGCAAGAACCCAAACAAAAAAACAGGGAACAGTAAGCGTTTTAAGCTCATAAAGAAAATAATAGAGTAACAATTAACGAGTTTTGCAAAGTGTTGTCGTTTTTTTCTTTACCAGCTGCTCCTCCAAATGAATGATATACGCAGTTTGTTCCATCTGAGTTTCCTTCAACACCTTCTGATTTTCCTTCAACACCGTCACTTCCTTCACTATCTATCAGAGTAAAACAGACAATTCATAAGAAAACTGTTTTCTATAATTCAGAGAGAGAACAATAAAATGACCTCAACTTACCACATCCAAGATTTCCACGAAATTGGGGGATCCAGTGTCCAACTTGAAATCCACAAGATGCTTCTCTTTGTCATCTCCAATATCCTCAGGTGCGGATACATACGACGACCCACAAGGCGATTTATCTTCCCCAAAGTCCCAAGGAGGCATCATCTCATCCTCCCAATGATTGGGCACCATAGAAGAAGAAGCAAATCCTCTCCTCAAACCATCCTTATCCTTAGGATCCTCCAAAATCTCGTTCAGTCCATCCAGATGGACTTGAAATGCCGATGTCGCATCCCAATCGATCTCCGAGTATGCATCCTCGCCAGAGTCCACCTTCTTGCCACGTCCTACAACACTGTTAGCTGCAGCCTGAGATGGAGCTTCATACGTCGAAGAAGTCTTCTTTTCCAGAGTTGAAGAACCGGTCGTGTTTCTCAGAACTGCCGAGTAAGACGCACCAGACTGTGACACTGATAGTTGAGCTTTTCCCTCATCCACATTACTGGCAGCAGATGCTTCCCATCCTCTAGTTTTTCCAGGATTGACTGCTCTTGAAGCTCTGTGTGCGCCTTCTTCTGACTCTTTTCCTTTGTTTTCACCAGAAGAATCTGAAGATTTGAAAAAACTGCTCCAAACACGCGGTGCTCCTGAGTCGCCTATCTCTACAAGAGCAGATGCCGGAATAGCCTTTCTGGTTGGTGGTGGTGCTGGTGGTGCAACATCTCTGATAGCTGATGGTGCCTTCACAGATCGTGATGGTGTAAACAAACGGAGCAGCTTGTTTGTCTGACTTCGGTCTAGCTCAAAGGAAAACATCTTTTCGTCCTTGTAATTCTCAGCAATGGCTGGGCGAAACTCTTCTTCAACCAAGGGTTGACACCGCATTCGAACTCGGATCTTCACCTGTGACGAAAATTATAAGATACATGTCGGTTTTGAGAGGATCATTGGGTGAGAATCAACTACGAGGAAAGTGTTGTGTACCTGAGCAGGATATGGACTTGGATCTGTCCCATTTGGAGACCAAGCTTTGGGATCAATGTTCATCGTTCCTTCACTTGCAGCCTCAAAGATGCCCTGGAGTGTTCTATCACTGTAGTTGAACAGGAATAGCGTCAAACCGGGGTCGATGTTCTTGATATATGCCATGTGAGGAGCTGGTAAACCTGGTCACAGGTTCACAAACAAGTATTCATTTTCAAAACGTGGTCTTCACTAGAGATTTTTAGCCTCGAGTGATTGTATATTAGATTGCATAGCCAGCCACTAACCAAACAATTTCTTAGCATGGCACTCTTTGATAGTGCTCCACTTGCATCCCAATATAACCCCGCAGAGATCTCCCTTGTGAAGCCTCGCAGTCATAGTTCCAGATAAGTAGTGGCTATCATGAGCCAATGTATAGGTCTCCGTCTTCCTCCCTGCACCCATTGCTTCTCACCAGAAAGATACATGTCAAAGAACAGCAAACACAGTGATATTTAGTACAAGTGAATCGTCGTCCCACAAAACAATGATTATTCCATTCCAAACACCCAGAGCACGAGCAATTTGCGTTTCGAAACAATGTTGACTACTCTAAACCTATAACAAATCAGTGATTCGGGGATAAACAATAATGAAATTTGTTCAGTCTATAACGTTTAGAAACTCAAAGCCAGGAGAGATTTCCAGAGGATCTCCAAATACTGAAGGTTAATGTAAGATCCTAACTTTAGAAAGCAAGGAGAGATCTCACACGCACATCGGTTCAATGGCAGTAAAAGCTCAGTAGCAAAACAAAATCGAAGGAAACCAAAATCTGGTGAAACTGAAAGGACGATTTGAAAACAAATTTTACGAAGCTGAGAGATGATACCTCAAAATCCTTAATCGCACAGCTGCTTGGGGTTGATTGAAGGAGACGATCTCACTCACTGAAGCTTCCTAGACTTAAAAACAGAAACAGAGCAGCATGAGAGAGATTTCTCGTACAAATAGAGAGAAATTTCGTAGAAAAACCTGATGGATTGAGAGGAAAGTTCATACCTGAACGATCCAAACGAAAGAAGAAGTGAAAAACCTAGTCCGGAATCTGGAGAGAGACAAATTCCAACAAATTTCAGTCGAGAAAATGCATACGACGAGGAAAGTTTTGACAAGGAAATTGAATGCGAAACGAGAATTGTAGGGTTCGTCGATTTAATTTCGGTGATAATGGCTACTTTGTTGAGAGCTAAAAGAAGGTACTAGACTGAAATTCGCAGAAATGCTGCAGTTTTTTTTTTCCTAAGACAAGAAAATGGATGAAGCGCGAAATAGAAATACTTATGAGACGATTATACCCTTTTGGGGTTTTGCGCTCTGATACTAGAATGGAAAAGTGAAAAGGGCGTTTTGGTAAATCTCAATCGCTGAATGCAGGGAGACGTTGCAGACTTCAGTTGCACGGCCATCACGTCAAAGCTCTGGGTTAATAAAGTAGAGATTTTGTTAGGATCTTCTGATCAAAAATTAATAAAAACTGTTAATGATCACTTTCATTTTTTCCTGGGAGTTAAAGTTATGATTATTTTCATTTATATCCTGCACTTTTTGTTTTTTATTTCACTTACAATCTCCTTCAGCCGTCTAGAATGCTACCAATTAATGAAATTCATCAAAACTGTGTAGCAACAGAAAATCTGTAAGTGTGTAAGATTCTGATGAATAAATGTTCAAAGAATGAAGGAGATTTGGAAACCCAACTTGCTAAAAATTTGAAGATTCTTTCCTTATTTAAGTAGAAAAGTCGAGTGTCTCAAAATGCGTACATATGTGAGTAATGGCAGTAACGTTTTAAATAATTTCACCACACGCAAAATAACGATCCACTTCAATTAATATGTTTGATGTTCATAAAATATTGAATTAACATTGATGTGAACTGAATAGGCGCTTTAACTATCACAAAAATATCGGCCATGACAACTCCAACATCATCAAGAACCAACAAATGTAAGAGAAGAGGTATGTGGTATAAGAACACATAAAGAAATTTGATTTTTGTTATTATTTTTAAAAAATTTGGGTTCTCACCAAGATCTTTTCGGTTTGAACACCACAATGTGTTAAGTTAGTTTTCTATCCATCGCAAGAAACCCGAAGTTGTGATTTTTAGGCTCTAATTAGTTATGTTTAAATCATTAGCCTTTAATTTCTAGACAAAAAAATTGAAACTACAATTTATTTTTTCGGTGCATAGCACTCAAGGTATACCAACATTAGTCCAATGATAGCGAAGAGGACTGGTGTAATCTGGTAGCGATAAAACCAGATACCATGGCTTCTTTTAAAGTTTCAAAGGCAGACTGAGCAAAAGAAGTCCATGTAAACTAATCTTTCTTCAACAGCTCTGTTAAAGGGTGTGCAATTGATTCATAGTTCTTGACAAATTTTTGATAATATCCAGTCAAACCCACAAATCGTTTGAAATCCTTAATTGATTTGGGAAATTTCCACTGCTGAACAGCTTCTGTTTTATTAGGGTCACTAGAAACATCTTATGGTGTAATCACATAGCCAAGATACTCAACTTGCGTTTGACCGAATTGATACTTCTTCCTATTAGTAAACAACATATTTGTTACAAAAACCTCCAACACATGTTATAAATGTAATAAGTGATTTTGTAACAAGGAACTGTAAATTAAAATATCATCAAAAAACATTAGCACAAATTTCCTCGGAAATGGCTGGAAACTTTCATTCATCAAAGCTTGAAATGTAGCCGGCACATTTGTTAATCCAAAGGACATGACCAGAAATTCATAGTGGCCATCATGCGTTCTAAAAGTTGTTTTTTCGATGTCTTGTCCTTGCATCCTGGTTTGATGATAACCAGAACATAAATCAAGTTAGGAATTTGTTTTTTCTCCATTCAGCTCATCAAGAAGCTGGTTGATCATTGATATTGGAAACACTTAGCCACATTAGCTCTGTTTAAAGCACTATAGTCCACACACAAAACCGTCAATTAGTATATTTCTTCTTAATCAATAAAACAGGGTTTAAAGATGGACTATGACTTTGTCTGATGATTCCAGTTGATAACACCTCCTTTTGACCATGAAGATAACGGTACGGACGTACCAAATTGGTGCATTTGTGACACTGGGTCGAACAGCGATTGAAGCTTCAGATTTCAACAATGGTTACCATTTAAGAGTGTTAAACTCTAACTCACCTCCATCTTGCTTGTGAAAATGTAATATTTTAAGAAAAAATTGGTGATCTTGAAAATTTTAAATATGTATGTGGTTGTTCTCCATTTCGCTAACACGTTATTTTCAGTCTATGTTTACTCTTATAACAAAACATACTACTATGATTTTGTAAAAATATGTTTTAGTTTTGATTTCAAAATTTCGTTTACTTTGAGCATTGTTTTGATACAAATCTGATTTCAAAATGGCAATAATAATTTTTCCAATCGGAAAGAGAGAATTTGGGAAGATCATTGACGAAAAAGGGAAAGAGACAAACTAAGAGGAGAAGCCAAGAACAGTCTAACCAAATATATACGTTCATCAACAACGTATGCAACTAATTTACCGATGAAGTTAATCATGTGAAGACTTTTTTGTCGTCACAACCAAAATAATTAAAGAGTATCTCTTTTAGTTTTAGTCAATGAATCTCTTTTATTTTAGTCAATGAAGAAAACTGATACGGACAGTTGTTGGAGTTGGACATGATTAATAAGTTAGTAGAACACCTTATTCCTCTTCGTGTCAGATTCACAACACCCCGAAATAAACACTTTAATAAGGGTAAATGAATAATCATTTTTTTCTTCCTCAAGCTATCTAAGAACCGCGTCAAAACGACTTTAAATTCTACTTTTCTTCTCTTTACTTAATAAATAATTAAAAAAATTGAGGAAAATCAAAGAGAATCCGACCCTTTGAATCATATACGAAACCATCTTAGTTTTCTTGTATTGGACTTGTTCAAAAAGATATTGTTTGGAAAAAATGGTGAGTGTCGTGGGAGAGATGTTTTGTAATCCGTACACGACGGAGCTGGTGGTTAGAAGGCGGCGAGAGAGCCTGAAAAGAGATCGTTACGATGTTTTTGATCTCTCTGACAATCTCATCTTCACCATCGACGGTAGCATTTGGAACATCCGCCGTAAACGTGTCCTCCGTGACGCCTCCGGAACTCCTCTTCTCTCCATGCGCACCAAGGTCACACACATATCTCATTAGTTTACCTCTATAGAAATATATACCTAGTAAATAATCTGATAGTATTTGTATCGTAGAGGAATCATCACATGTTTGCATATGAAATTTAGTTCGGTTTTGATGAATGAATTTTTAAATAACAAGTGAATTTTCAAATATCTTTTTAGGGAAAGTTGGCTGCATAATCTTATTTTTCCATCTAAAACCATATGTTAAGGTATATGACTTTAGTAAATTGTATGCCTAAATTCAATCTTCTGAAATCGGTATATGTCATTAGACCGGCTGAAGGGTTAAATGGCCTAATAAAACCAAATTTTCTTGCCAACTTTTCTCTTTTTGATGTTAACTATCTTCATTTTTTTAATTATATTTAATGTCTAACTGTTTGGCCGTGTAATTGCGTATCTAATCAAACACCTAACTTGATAATATCATTGAACAAAACACATTCCGTTACTTGATGGACCGTGTAAGTATATTAGTAAAATAAATATGCTTGTATTTCTAATTGATCAACGTAAAAAATAATTAAAATCTGATTTTAACACCCAAAGCACAGTAATATGCGTATACATGTTTAGAACTTCCTGACAACATAAGTTAATCTATGCTTGATCTTGAGAAGAAATGTCTAATGTTTCAGGGACTTGTAACAATGAGATACAAATGGGAAGTGTACAAAGGAGAAAGCATAGAATCCGAGGATCTTCTTTTCTCAGTAAGGGAACCAAATCTATTCTCATTCAAAACATCACTCGATGTCTCTTTACCGCCACAACAAGCTTCGATAACGACAGACGTTAGTAGTATCGAGCCAGACTTTCGAACTTCTGGTCGTTACATCGGTTCTTCTTTCAAACTCTTTGAACCAATTCATAATACTCTTCTTGCTGAGGTACATTTGCACACATAAACATTTGTAGCTTCTTGTTTTAATTGCGGATGAATAAACGTGAGCTTGAATTCTACAGGTGGTTCATGATTTCTCATTGAGAGGACTTATAATGGGGAATTACAGCTTCAAAGTGAGGGTTAATCCATATGTCGATTTCGCATTTGTCGTCGCGTTACTTGTTATCGCAGATGATACATCCAATCTACGTTAGAAAAAGTTTTTTATACTGATCTTAAAGGTTTTTTGTTATACGATTAGAAGAGTGTGTTGTAACATACAACAAAATCATGCTGTATAAATATTTTGTATTTTTTCTTCTTTTATTGTGCTTGAGGTTTGTCTACATTTTATCACTTGTATAAAATCTTTACACTTGTACAATAATACAATATACTGTACCAATAATAATCACTTGTATTTCAATATAAAAGATGATAAATAGAGAAGATAATCATTTTATATATTTATGAATATTTTGGGGATGGGACATAATCACATAATCGAAAACACAACTAGCTAGTTCAATGAATGTCAATATTTGCGTCACTGCATCGCGATACAATTTATTCAGGATTATAAAATACGCCCATATACAATTTTCTTGTTTTTATCTTCCAATTAATTAGTTTTTGTTTTTAAAATAGCTGTGTTAAAAGTCATTTTATCGTCACACCATTTTGACCAAACGAAGCCAAGAGATAGATAATGCGTGTCCACATCCACATAAAGACGCATGAGTGACCTTCCTAGTTGCTTCCCACTCCTAAATCCTAATCTTTCTCTTTCACAATTAAACCTCTTTTTTTTGTTTGCGTCCACGATTATTTAATTTACATTTAATGAAATTATGATTACTTCTCCTCTACTAAAGAACAAACTATGTTGTAAATCTTATAATTTTCAGAAAATCAAATCAGAGAACCTTATCCATACTTTTGTTGTTTTACGGCAAAAAAACTTGGTATGAATGCGATACATTAACCTCCCTAAAGAAAACTGAAATTATAATTGCAAAAGCTTATCGTACGATAAAATGTTTAAAAAGTATTATAATAAGATCCCAAAAGCACTTTTTTATTATAATATGATAAGCAAACGTTACATCAGACGCAACGGCACAAGTCAATTTGGGTTTCCCCATGCTTGTTCCCCCACTAAAACACAATTTAAAAAGCAATGAAAAAGAGAAACAATCCAACAAAGAAGAAAAATAGCGACAGCAAAACGCAGCCTTAGCCGTAGCCCACACCGCGTCTCAACCGCACAAATATCCTTCAACCCATAAAACGATAAAACCAACCACACACCGACACGTAAGCAGCCTTTATTTAGTTATTCCCTGACGTGGCTGTTTACTTTACCAAACGCCCAAATCTTCAAATCGCCAGAACCAGACCCGGGACGGATTTTCCAGACCGACCCGAGAATTGGCTTTCCCACACGGAGGGGCAATGCGACGGCCTAATCCCAGCGGAGCGTCCGGCGACGACGTTACCGACCCGCGTGACGGTGAGAGAAGTGTTCGAGTACTCACGCACCTGCGTGATTATCCCATGCGACACGGTCCAGGCGTGGATCCAGGAGATGGAGCTAGCGGCGTCGCAGCCCTCGGCGATGACGGTCGATCCGAAGGAGACGACGGAGAGAGGCACGAATTCGAACGGCGGAGAGACTCCGGTGAGTATGCGCATCAAAAACTGGTGCGGCGGAGGGCCGTGGAACCAGTAGTCCAGATCTGGGGTGAGGATCTTGTGCACCGATTCGACGTCTCGAGATCTCAGGGCGTCATAAAGCTTCAGAACCACGTCTCGGTTCTTGATCTCTGATTCCGCCAGATTATCCAGTTCTTGGTGGCGAATTTCTGGAATCGAAAGTAAAGGTGAAAAGGATTGGATTATGGAGAAAGAAGAAATGATTCTTTAAGGTTTTTCAAATCGGGGTGATAAATCTGGGATATATATAGCCGCAGGGTATGGGGTTGGGATTTGATTCTCTGCATCCCGTCCTATTTTTCTGGGTTTCGGATATTTAGCGTTAATTTGACACGTGTCCTTTTAATTAATGGGGTTTAATTGGTTAATGGGACCCGGATATAAAGTTCCTTAATGTTGACTGTTGAGCCAGCTAATGTATGACCACTTAACCACTTTGGTTAGCTCTACAGTCTTATTAGGTGAATATTTTAATGAGTCATTTACACTAACCACTTTAGTCACTAAATATCTTTGACTGTAAACTTATATTTTAATTTGCTAGTGGTAAATGTCTAACTTTCGGTTGATTTGAGAAAGGAAAAGGAATCGAATTTCTTCCTTATTTTTGTTGTCTTATACGGAATATACTACCTAACCCAAACTTAGATAGCACAGAAAGAATCAATTAGTTCTTACCTCGAGGAGTTTTAACGGATAATTATCCATTGACAAAATGATTAACAGTTGGTAGAGGTAATCAAAGAAATATGCAAACAAACGTGTTCAACGAGTGTGCTGGTCCAGCCGACCAATCACTGAAGTTTCAAAGGTAATAATGCACAATCACCTTGACACGTGTCTTACAAAGAGTCCACGTATAGTAGAGTGGCCACCTATGTCCATCTAGTCATCGGACCATGACACGTCTGATTCTTTATAGCAGTAATAAACTTCTGTGATTTAGTATATATTAGCACTTAGCAGTATAAATTTTGAAAAAAATATATGGAGTGACAGAAAATTATATTGGTTAAAATACATTCTAGTATAAATATTGCTTTTTAGCCAAGATAGTACTAATCTTGTTTATGTCGACCAGATTATACTGGACGACCAAAAAGATAAAATGTCGACCAAATATATATCGACATCAATATATAATTGTCAGTAGATATTAAAATAAGTACTATATGTTTATTTTATATTACGTAGAAAACTCAGCTATTTGCCTCCCTATATACATTGATAAAGTATTGAAGTTTTAAAAGGAAAATAAAGGTTAGCTTTTAAGAAAATATAAAACAACAAAGATGATTAGACAACAAACTACAAAAAGTTGATTACACAAATAAGAATATACGTTAGTGGATTTCTGAAACGGTTCTCCACGAAAATAACTCTTCTGACAGCGACGCCTAATTCCAATATTGCATAATGATAGTGAACTTGCTCTCCAATGACAATTTGTGAATGGTTTTGTATATTTGTTAAAAATTTATGGAATCTCTTCTGAAGCATATGCGGAAGACCATTAGGTCCATTACCGATCCTAAAAAGTAATTTGTAGGCTATAGATATTGTGATCCAGTGAGACTAGGAATAAACCCGAAACCAAATGAAACATTGAAGTGGAATATTCGCTTTTACTTTGCAAACCCAAAATGCTCGAGACAAGAAAACTCAAATTGTCTGTAAACCAAATCGTTGTGATTAAATCTGTTTGATTCACTTTATACATTTACGTTCACTAGCGAATAACCCAAACATCAAAACCTTATATAGCTAAGTGAACAATATACTGGGCTAAAGAAATTGTACTCTATGTTCAAATGGACCAAAGATCAAAAAATGAAACATAACTGTGTTCATAATCTCCCACTGTCTGAGAATCTATCTCATATTCTTTACTACTCTACCTCAAAAGCCAACAACCTCTCCAACCGCCTGGTTCGACTCATGATTTAACCGACATTTCTACAAGACATCGGTTTAAGTACAACTGTACAAGCAAAGCCTGCAGGCAAAGGCACACATAGATCTCACAAAAATCCCATTGAAACACAACGGAGAAACTTACATTGCAGAAGAAACCGGGAAAATGTTAAAACCAGAAGCTTAAAAGGTATATATATAACTCGGTTTACAAAACCGGCCTCATCAAACTTTGTACAACCAAACAATCAAAGAGACTTGTACTCAAAAGTTTCCTCCAAAACCAGTTTATACAACAACACCTGAAGAGAAAGGAAGGAGAATTAGCAGCTGATTCGAAACTCCATGGCTGTTCAAATCAAGCTTCTCTGTGTATAGACAAAGGAGACGGTGGAGTCAGAACAACCTCAACCTCCCTTTCACCTTCATCTTTCTCTCTAGCCGTCTGTAAATCTGGACTATGCACCTCTTTCCAAAACCTACTCGGGCTAGGAGAACTCGCCCCACTTACGTTCTTCGGCGAGCTCCCGAGACCAACCCTAGGATCAAACACACCGTCCTCACGCGGCAGAGGAGACACCAAACTCTTCTCCTCCGTTCTCTGACAGAACTTATCCTCCACTATCTCATAAGCGTTTGCAGTCCTAACCTCTTGCGCCAAAGAACACCAGCAACAAAACAACCAAAGCGTACAATCAGCAACCGCTTCTCTTCCAAAGCAGAACTTATAACCAGGCAACTTAAACCTCTTCCTCATCTGAATCCTCCAGAAACCCCCATAGAGCAAACCAAACAAACAAAGAAGGATCCCAGATATCCCCAGCGCCTCCCTAACCGTCTCGTTATCAATATTCACCGCAGCTAAGTTGAATATAAAGAACGGAGCCAAACAGAACAGTATAAACGTAGCTATGTGCACATACATGTTCCCAAACCCAACTCTCTCCATGTTCCACCCAAACACACAAAAGGTACAGAAAAGAGACAGATAAGCCAAGGAAATATCATCCCAAATATCCAAAACCCCACCACTCCATTCAGGCTCACTCACCGGAACCATCTCATCAGCAGCAGAACCAGAAGCAAACGAGTACCTCCTCTCTAACCCTCCCCTGCGACTCACAGACCCTTCTTCACGCTCCACTTGATTCTCCTCATCATCATGATCATCATCATCATAATCTTTCCCCAATGGACTTAGTATAGTGTACAAACCAGCAACAGCAGGAGCTCCAATGGCAACAGAGAGACACACAGCGACACCAATAGGAGGTCTCTCCGATCTTCTGTATCCAACGTTAAGACCACAAAGCGCATACTGAGCAAAGCAATTCAAGTGAAGCAAGAAGATGACAACAGAGATATGCATCCACTCGTTAGGTTTATAAGTCCCGTTCTTGCAATACGCTTTCCTAAGCTTAGCGATATCATCGTGCTTCCATCTACAAAGCAGCACCAAGTGGTAAAAGCGTTTCGGATGCTGATAAAGACACATGAGAGTGAACAAGCCGTTGAGGATTTGGTTGTTGACTTCGAACCAAGCGTCTCTCTGTGACTTCTTAGGCAGAGCGTGATTCAACATACCAGTCATCACCATGAAGAGGATCGCACCGGAGACGGCGACGGCGAGTATCCACACGAAGAGAGCCATGTTGATTGGGTTCTTAATCCATTGCTTCCCCATGTGCATCAGAGAGCTCCAGTCGATTTTCCGGTGAAGCACGCCGCTGATTCGTTCCCGGAAATTGTGGCTGCTCGATGACGAGCTCGTCGTCGTCGTCGTCACTGACCGTGAAACTTCGTCTCTCTCCTCGGCCATTTTTTTGAATCGAGCGGAAGGAGAACCTAATTTCAGAAGCTTGAATCTAGTCGATGCATCGGGCAAACCACTGAACGACCAGCTCTTGGGTTTACCAGCACTGATTAGGGTTCTTCGGGATGTTGAAACGTCGTTAGGGCAAATAACCCTAGGTTTCCCAGAACCATTGGATTCTTCGATTTCGGCTTTCAAATTCGAATCCCCATCGCAATTCGATCCCATTTTTTTTTCTCTTTTGGATATCAAATCTCGTGGGGAGAAAAAGCTAACTCAATCAAAGGCATATGTGCTTGGCAAGCTTAGACATAGTTGGTAAAGAATATAGAACCCAGAAAGAAGATTTCTACTTGCCGACGAAGCTTCTCAGCACGTTAAAACCAACCAAGTCTTCAGATTTGACTAGAAAAGGAAAAAGGAATCAAAACGCCCTAACTGGGAAACTCGTTGGATCGAATTTCAAATCCTTAATATTCGAATCAGACGCAATTACACATAGAGAGAGAGAGAACAAAAAACCCCAGAATTTAGAAAAATGAGTTACTAAAACGATGAAATTTCAAAAAGTAAACTTTGAAGAAAGAACCAATAAGCGCGTAAATCAAAAGTTCCGAAATCGATGAACAGTAGAATTTTAGATTGGTCGTTGAGGAAGAAGAAGAAGAAGTCTGAGATTCTTTTTCTCGTGGTAGCTGTTAACTATAGCATCGTTGATCAGCCCGCCAGTCTGGAAGTCCAATTACTTATTTTTCTAATACACGAATATTTCGTTTTGTTAACTTTTTAATTCGTGTTTTTACAGCTACTAATACGTTTTTAACATTGTAGTTTGTGTTTTTGATAATAATCTATAGTGTGATACTCCTAATTTTATAAATATCTCGATTACACCGACATCTCACAAATTTAATATTTAGTGTATGTGTGTTTTATACCGAAGAACTACTATCACGTTTTGGATTAAAACCCCCGAATATTTTGTGCCATCAGAAGTAGAGTAATCGTTATGGATGGTCGTGTTTATTAAATGTTTGTTTAGCTGTCTTGTCGTGGTTAAAGAATATCTCGTAATCGTAAGTCATGTGTGTGATGTGTATCAGTGTATACAAAAGAAACTTAGATTCGTCCATTGTAGACAGAAGGAAAAAGGGTATTCTTGATTTAATTTGTGTTGTTTACGAGAAACAAATTCATGATTTCGATTGTTTTAATCCGGTCGACTGATGAATTTATAATCAATTACTGAAGGTCCCAAATACATTACGGGTGCACAACATCATTACATCACCATGTAAAGAAGTTTCTTGGTGTAAGACATGGGAGATGGCTTTCATGCTGCAACATATTTCTACTGTCCACCACGCTTATTTTCTTGAAAATGTTATATCTACAACATCTCTATCAAAAAAGTTCACATCTACAACATGTTTATAAATTAGTGCAACTTTGACGGATCATACCTTCTTCTCAATCCAAACTCCGAAGCCTTTGCTAGTTGCGGTTAGGACAAGTGGAGCGTGCCTTGTCCGATGCGAAAGCCTGTAGAGAACTCAAACCTGATTGGCCTAAAGGCTGTTTCAGAGAAGGCACTGCTCTGCGTCTGCTTCAGGTAAAATCTTTTTCCATTTCCATCAAAAAGCTTTGATTTTTACATTTTAGCATTGAAACTGTATTATTAACCAATATCCACCGATTCGACGAGGCAGCAAATGCTTTTTACGAGGGGATATTGCTTAGCCCTGAAAGCAAAGAGCTCGTTGATGCTTTCAGGTTCGTTTGAAACCCTTATCATGTTTTGATCTCTTAACCTTTTGTATTGGTTTCTCTCGAGATAACTGATTTTCTATTTCTATTCTTCTGCAGAAAAGCTGTAGATGCCGGAAGGAAGTTTCACGGCAAGGACAAGAATAATGATTTTGCTTAGTGTATGTTATAGTATTAAACTTAATTCCTATTTGCATCAACTTCCTTCTAGTATGTCAATGAAAAGAAAACCTATCAAGCCATTTGGTGAAGCTGCATGACCAAATCAATTCAAGAGAAACAAAAAAAAAAACAAGATGATGCAAACTATATAATACATATGTGAAGGAAAGAGACATCAAAGCATAACAGGTAGAGATTTAAAACATCTATATACGCAGTTATCATCACCAATCAAAACCTGATGACACCACTCAACTTGACCCCAAGTCTCTCCTCCTCGTCTTCTTTGCAGCGAAATCTCAGCACACCAAATCTCTACTCCTTCTACTTCTACTTCTACTTCTATAGGAAAAAACAAGGCCAGTCTCCCACTGTAACTCAGAGTCTCTGACCGGCCCAGTGAACCACTCGTCTTAGCCAACAAGTCATCCAAACCATTCACCACTCCCCAACACCTCTTCTTGGATCATACACTCTTAAACAATTCTCAGATGCATCGTAATAGTACAATACGTCATCAAGCACACACGCACCCTTACCCATCCACGACTTAGAATCCAGCATCTCGTCTCTTCCCCATGTCCTCTCCTTTGGATCGTAAAAAACGCTGCTGTGATAATCCGCTAAATATATTTTACCACCCATCACAAGACTACACCTAATCTGAGAACCTACCTTGATATCCGGCTCTATCACCTCTGCCTCCCACATTTGTGTCTCTGTATCAAACACCACCATCGAAACCTCATTCCCGTCATAATCGCAGTTTCCACTTACATAGATCTTCCCGTCAATGAAGCTAGCAGCTCTGGTCAACATATAAGGCATGCTCGGGAGGGTTTTCACCATGTGAGATCTACACTCGATGCTCACGGCTTTTCTCGTGTATGCGATATCCATACCAAACGCATATATCTTCGAGCCCGCCGCGACAAAGATTCCACTTTTGGGAAGCGTAGGGATAGGGACCAAGCGACGATTGCGGAGAACGTACAGACATTTTTTCCACGAGGGCATGTACTCATGGAGGAGAACATAGAGACGGTGTTCAGTGCGGCCCAACACGGATCTTCTCGCGTATAGCTCAGGCGACGAAACAATTGACCGGAACTGCTTCGACACAAGGGATAGTGTTGGATGGTCGCGTCTCCCTACACGCGCTATGATGTCAACGATTATGTCTTTGGGAAGTGACATAATCGGAAATGGTGATTCCGACGATTCCGACGATTCCTCTTTCTCCGCCATTGTTTCGCAAGACATAATCGGAAACGGTGAGAAGCGGCGGGATTAGGGTTGGCTTTGTCGCAGGAATCGTCGGAATAGTTTATTTGCTAGGCCCATTAACGGCAAACCGGCCAATTCGTGCCTGAACTATTTTCAGAGGTTCCAATCCGTGCCCGAACTTTCAAGGTGTGCCAATCCATTCCCCAACTATTATAAACCATCCGATACGTACCCCAACTCTTTCTCGCCTGGCCATAACCAACATTGACCATCACCCCGTTAGTCAACTACGCGAATTCGTTAACGGTGCTGAGTCATCTTGCCACGTCAGCTGCCCCGTTGGAACGGGATATCAAAACGATGTCGTTTTTCCCTAAACGCCACCCGAAATTCAATTTCTGGTACTGCTCTGAATTTCGGTTTGTCAGCGGTTAAATACCGGTTTACTCAAATCAATTTTATTAATTGAAACGACGTCGTTTGGATTGAAAAGAAACCAAAACTTAAAATGGCGTCGTTTTGTTTCATAGGCTCTTCATTCTTCTTTGTCGAGTGCCGTTTTGGAGTTCGAGAGAGAAAACAAAGTAGGTTGATTTCGTACTGAAATCTGTTTCTTCTCTGCATAAGATTCTCCGGTTTCTGTCACTAATTGAAGAAGATTGCATACTATTTGTGCTGAGCGAAGCAATTTCTGGAAAAATGAGGTATGTAGAATTTTTAGGGTTTTTAGAAAACTGGGTTTGAATTTAATATTGATTTAGAATTATTTACACACTTTGCAATATAAAATTCGTCTGAAAGCTATAATATATTAACGATTTTGAATTCTTTAATTTGTTGTAGTGATGATGTCTCATTCACCATCTATTACGGTGGGAAGTTTACAAATATGTCGGATGACACACTTGTTTACAATGGTGGATCTGGGCATGAGCTCCTTACACAGCCAAGATCATTGTTTCAGGGATTGCCGGTTAGTTTGTATGGACAAAGAATTTGGTACAAATTACCATTTGAAGATTTGAAAGAGCTTAGGATATTGTGTGAGGGTACTGAGAATTTCGAGAGGATGTGTGAAGCAGCTAAGTGGACTAGGATGATTGAGATTTATATGGAGAAAGATGAAGATTGTGAAGGGGATCACGGTAATGAGGAAGGAAGAAATGACGATCAAAATATGGAAAGAGGCGCTGATCAGGTTGAGCAAAGAGGAAGAGATGATAATAATGAAGATGGAAGAGATAATAATACTGATGATGGAAGAGATCAAGACAGAGAAGATGGACGAGAGGTATACGAGATGTGTGAAGAAGAAGCTCAGGTTGAAGAAGTAGTGGCTAAGTTTTTTGAAGAGGAGGAGAATGATGACTACCAACGAACTCCTACTACATCAGACAACGAAGGAAGAAAAATCCAGAGGTGTCCTTATGATAGGTGGGTAAGAGGAAGTGGAGAACTCAAGATTAAGCAAGTGTTTGAAAGCGTGAAAGAGTTTAGAGAAGCTGTGATTGAGTACGCATTGAAAGGAGGTTGGAATATACGGTTTAATAGGTGGGGAGCTGTGAAGTCTGAGGCATTGTGTGGTATTGAGAAGTGCAGTTGGAGAGTCTACTGTTCTTATGAGGATTCAATTGCTATGTGGATGATAAAGACGTTTCAAGAGAACCATACCTGTTTCAAAGATGGTCGATGCAAAATCTTGTCACAACAAGTGATATGTGACATGTTCATCCATGAACTGAGAAATGATCCTCTACTCAAACCAGTCATTATGCAGCAGAGAATCCATGACCGTTACGATGTGGCTCCTTCACATAATCAATGCCGTAAAGCGAAGAAAAAAGCATTGGAGCTTATTGAAGAAGAATTCAAAGAACAATATTCAAGGATGAAAGATTACAGAGATGAACTTAAAGCGTAAGTATTTAAATTCATTGTTGGTTTCTTTTCTTTTTTATTGCTTGTTTGTGTGACATTTTATCTAAATGTCTCAGGAGAAACCCACACTCGACAGTGGAGGTTAGAACTGAGATTAATGCGGTTGGGGTAGAAGTTTTTGACAGTTTTTACATGTGTTTTTCTGGGCTGCGTGATACATGGAAAGGCCATTGCCGACCAATCTTCGGAATAGATGGCTGTTTTCTCAAGTCCAATTCCAAAGGACAGCTCTTGGCAGCCGTTGGGAGAGATGCAAACAATCAGATCTACCCTTTCGCTTGGGCAGTTGTGCAAGTGGAGAACAGCGAGAGTTGGTTGTGGTTCATTCGTCACTTGAAAAACGACTTAGGCCTTGGAAATGGTGAAGGATTCACTGTCATTTCTGATAGGCAAAAGGTATGTGTAGTAGTGATTACGTTTTTGTTTTTTTTTTGTTATGAAATGTTGTGATTATGATTTTTTAAATTTACTTTTTTTCAGGGACTACTCTTTGCTGTGAACCAAGAATTACCAGAGATTGAGCACCGTATGTGTGCAAGACATATTTATGGTAATATAAGGAAGGATCATCCTAGGAAGCCGCAGTTGAAGACCAAGTTTTGGCGTGTGGTTGATAGTTTCAATGAGGAAGATTATGAAATAAATCTGGCGCAACTGAAGAAATATGATAGTGATATCTATGAGGCCTTCATGAGTAGAAATCCAAGAAACTGTAGCCGGGCTTTCTTCAAGACCGATTCATGCTGTGAAGATGCACTTAATAACTTCTCAGAGAGTTACAACAATACACTTGAAAAGGCGAGAGCAATGCCATTGATTCAGAGTTTGGAAACCATGAGGAGGCAAACTATGATGAGGATAGCGATGAGAAGGAAAATGACGCAGAAGCATAAGGCCACACACTCTCTAAAGGTTGCTCTAGTGATCGCAGAAGAAGAAAAAGCGGTTAAACACTTGAGGACAATCGCTTCACGCCCTGGTCTGTTTGAAGTTATGGATAACGGTCAATCACACAAGGTTAATATGAAGGAGAAGACATGCAGATGTAGGAAATGGGATCTGACAGGGATTCCATGCCGTCACGCGTTACGCGTTGTGTTTGACAACCCGAAAACATACAAGAAAGAGGACTTGGTTTCTGATTGGTATTTGACTACTAAGTGGCAGGATCAATATATCGATTCTATTGGACCGGTCAATGGGATGAAATTTTGGAGAACAAGTGGAGAAACAACGCTTGAGGCACCAGATACAGAGGTACAAAAGGGTCGGAAAAAAAATCCACAGAAACGGATCAAAGGTGTTAATGAGTCACCAAAAAAGGGAAAAAAGGCCACAAACCATGGTAGAGATATGCATTGTTACCGCTGCGGTTTGGCTGACCACAACGCTTACAAGTGTCCTAATTCGGGTGTACCATTTAAACCTAGGCCGCCAAAAAAATCCAAATTGGCTGATGGTATGGAAGATCCAAGACCTGTTGGAAAGAAAGGGCGTAAACCCAAGAAGAAGAAGACAGTAACCGAGGTGGTTGAGTCTCAAGATCTTGCAGGTCCTAGTCAGCCAACTCAGACTTCTACTCCTGAATTTGGAGAATGGGACAGGTATGTCGCTGTTTATATGTAAATGGTCTATGACTGAGAAATTTTGTTTTAGGAGTCTTAAAAGAGTGAGGACATTGGTCCTCTTATGTTATAAAGGAAAGAGAATCTTGGTTTTAGGTGATTGAGAATTGTGGTTCTGTCATCGACGAATGAGAACATTGGTTTTAGTTAGAGTGAGAATTGTGGTTTTATCATGTTGGATGAAGGAATGAAAACATTGATCGAGAATGACAATTGGCTTTGTTTTAAGAGAATGACAATTGGCTTTGTTGTTGCAGGTGGACATGAGATTGAGAATTGGTTTTGTTGTTGGAGGTGGCTGTGAAATGGAGTGAAGTGAATTTATAGGTTTTCTTGTTATTTCGGCTTATTTAAGACATAAAACGTTAAGTTTTATTGTTTTTGTTTCAGACTTATGTAACACGGTTTGTGTTATCTTTGCTTTGACAATCTTTTATTTTATGCTAAACGGCTTATTAATGATATTTGAATCTAGAACGATTTTTCCCCAATTCGGTTTTTAAATCGATTTTGCCGAGATGAATCAAACCAAGCTCGGTTTTATGTTTTGGTTTCATTTCAATCCAAAACGACGTCGTTTTCAGAAATTGAATTTTGGGTGGCGTTTAGAGAAAAACGACATCGTTTTGATATCCCGTTCCAACGGGGCAGCTGACGTGGCAAGATGACTCAGCACCGTTAACGGATTCGCGTAGTTGACTAACGGGGTGATGGTCAATGTTGGTTATGGCCAGGCGAGAAAGAGTTGGGGTACGTATCGGATGGTTTATTATAGTTGGGGAATGGATTGACACACCTTGAAAGTTCGGGCACGGATTGGAACCTCTGAAAATAGTTCAGGCACGGATTGGCCGCTTTCCCGCCCATTAACATCCTTATTTAGTTTTTAGATTGGCCCATTAACATCCTTATTTAGTTTTTAGATTGGCCCATTAACATCTCTATTTTACTCTTTAGTCAGCAAAAAGATGCAGACTTCGTGGTGTCTTTTGTTATTTAAAACGACGCCACGTCTCATAGCAAGAAACCAAAACGGCAACCCTAGTGTAATCCACTGGATAAAATTGCGTTTTCTCAAGCTCCGTCTCTCTCTCTCTCTCTCTCCACCAGAAGAAACGTTGTCTCCAGACGTATGAACCCAGGCGTTTAGATAGTTCAACCTCTCTCTACCTGAACAAAAACGAAAGCTTTTTATCATCTTCTCCCCCATTTTGTTGTGATCTAGTTGAAACCCTAATCAAATCATCATCATGGACTGCTCATGCAGTACTCGCCCTTCGTCTCTGCTCATCTCTTCCGAACCGTCGTTTCGCTTCCCTCGCTCTAATCCCGCCTCGAATCTCAGCTTACTGGTTTGTATAATCATCTCTAACATCTGGCTTTTAGCTTTGATTCGAGATCGATTGAGGATCACTTTAAATTTCTGCCCTTTTTGTCTCTCAGATACCGAAAGATACG